TGCCATCATCCTTCATCATCCGCTGTGAGCGTGCACGTGTGCGCGGGCGTGGATACACAGAGCACGAGTGTGGGGATACACGGACAGAAGGATGATAAAAGAGACGGAAAAGCGATAAAAAAAATGTATATATCAAGAAGAAAGAATCTTTTAAAGACGATCGCTTAACTTTAAAATCTGACAGTTTCACTTGAATGGTTCTCCGCGGGTTTTTCCAATCTCCGCCATAACTCTTCTCAGGACACTCAGGATAATAAACTAGTTCTTTGGAGGGTACTCACTGACCAAAGCATGGGATTTGTGGTGACTGAGTCTATTTTAACAGCTCAAGCTTCAGGCTTTTCAAAAGCACTCGTACAGGTATTCTTCTCAAGGCTGTATTCAAGAAAGGAGTCAAGCTTTGTTTGTTGCACCGCCGCTCCACCTGTTTATGTAGTTTATGAGAATGGAGACTGAGCAATGCTCCATTTACTCCAACGGCCACATTTAAATCCTCACAGTAGCTCTGCAGCCTACTACATAAACATGAGTTTAACTGGTCTCAGAAGGGCTTTCTAGATCCTCTTTCATCAAAATCTTAAATCTTGAGTTGTGGAAGATTGTAAAAACTCCAACGCAGACATGTCAAAAGGGAAAGGGTAACATGCTCTTTAAGCTCTGCCCACCTTGGAGCATGGATACGCGTGTGTGTTTGGATTCATGATTATGTACAATATGTGTGCCCTCTGGTGCCAGCCCTGCCCTCGTGGCCTGTTTACCCCCCGGCAGCTGTTCCCTGCACTGGGTTACATTCCTGGGGAGAGCCCTGGGGCAGAGCAGCTGCCTGGTGCACCTCTCCTTACCCCCCCTTTTTTAACTCTGCTTCCTCTGGCTGGGCCTCTCCTTCTCTGACAGCACATGCAATAACACGGTGACATTCCTTCATTTATTACTGCACCCCCCCCGGCCCTCCTTCACCCTCCTCAACCACCGCAAGCGCTTAGTCCGACGCACACTCGGATACAACAACTGACACTAACATACTCCCCGTGTGCTCGCACACACCGTGACAAACGAGCCCACATATCTCATAGAGTCAAATTCTAATAAACAGGACAGATGTGCAAACGCGTCTATGGAGTGGAGCGCGTCTATGCACTGTAGCCAGCTTCAGTGGGGGAAGTATACTGTCAGTATATTCACATCATCAGAACTAACTGGGATCAAAAGTTTTGAAACTAAAGAATATTATTTTCTTTTTTTATTCTTTCTGTCTAACAACCTGGGCTGCAAAAACACACCAACAATCATCATCACAACAAATGGTTGCCTAGGATTTCTTTTTTTTTTGTTGCCAAGGTAGAAATCAGATATCAATATAGATAGATTTATACTGGTATCGTATTGAATATTTTAATCCGTCTTTGTCCCCTTATACAAGCTTGCACAAGGGATTTTTTTTGCCCTTTTGTTTGACATCCCTGCTCCATTTTATTAGCCTATTATAGTCGCATGATCTTTTTCCAAAGAGTTTTTAAAGTTCTCCCATTAAAGTTTTTTTTTTTAACTGGGGGAAGTTTTTCTAGTTCACTCGAGGAGCTGTGTTTGTTTCCAGTCTGTGAAGCCCACTGAGACTGTCAATGTGATGATGAAAGGCTACACAAATAAACGTGGTTTGACTTTAAATCTCCCCTAAACACTCCTTAGTTTATTGTTAAAAACTCTTTCTTTTTTTTTTCACGTTTGTGGTGCAACCAGACTTGATGTGGTCCAGTCGAGTCTCCAGTCACTGAGGGAGTGAAGCTAACCTGGGCTGTAGCAGACAATAAGTCCTGTGTGCTTGACCGACAGATGGCCTTTGAAACACACAGCAGTGCACGCTCGCTCTCAAGAAAAAAAAAAAATCGGAAATTCACTCATGAAATGTAACGCACATACATGCACCCAGATGCACAGAGTCACACAAAACCTCACATCACATGAGGCTCATATGAAAGGAGAGGGTTGAGGTGAGGGGGGGGGGAGTCATGAACTTTCTCTCATACATGCAAACACATGCTCCAGCTCACACACGTATTCATGGTCACTCACACCATTGACAAAGCAGCACGCACACTGGTGGTCACCCACATATTTCCTGTCGCTTTCGAGTACATGCTCACACATATTACACACAAAGAAACTTAAGCTTGCACGCCAGCCTTCACAGGACCTTTGACACAGAGACCTTTCTCACTTTTGCAGCGCTGCTAACCTCTCTTTAAGCTTAGAAGGAAATATACCAACTGCATCAGTCTGCTTTGCTCCGGTTTTGTTTTGATTGTGAATTTATTTGCCAATTTTCTCATAAAAAAGAAAAAAAGTGTAATGTTCCTTTAATTTGTGACTGAGATTCTACTGTATGTAGTTTTATAAAAAATGTATAGTTGTTAATCAGATGAAGAGCAGCCTCTGATCAGTCTTTGACCTCACAATGAACTGTTACATGTTCGATTACTGTCGTTTAAAAGGGCAACCAATCAGTGGCATGGAAGCAAGACTTTGATTTGGTAAGTTGTGAAGAAGCAAAACCCAGAAAGGTTGCAAAATGTAAAAAAAATAGAATATGTTCCAAAGTGGATAAATCAAGTTGATTTAAAACAGACAATTAGAGTGTGTGTGTGTGTGTGTGGTGTGTGTGTGTGTGTGTGTGTGTGTGTGTGTGTGTGTGTGTGTGTGTGTGTGTGTGTGTGTGTGTGTGTGTGTGTGTGTCATTAAAGCAGAGTAAAGCCTTCATCAGGAGGCTGGCTCTGAGCAGCAGAGACTGACAATACTCTTCTATTTAAGGGCCAACAATCTGTGTCGTGTTTTGTTGAATCACGATGCACACTGAGTCAACGTCTTGCTAACTGCTCTTCAGCAGCCAGGAATCATTTCTCTAATCCAATATTCATCCACTCTGAAAAGCTCTCACTCTCTCTCTCTCTCTCTCTCTCTCTCTCTCTTTCTCTCTCCGTGAGGTAAACAGTGAGGGGCTGCAGAGGCTAAACTGCACTCAGTCTTCCAAAAATATATGGAACAGATCAATCTTCTGAAGAGGATGCATTACCAGACAGAGAAGAGCTGAGTGAAAAGATTTAATGCAATCAGACAGGGGGGGGGGGGGGGGGATAAATGGGCACATTCATAAGGAGAGACGTTGGTCATTAACCTCTCCTGAATAAGATTACTGACATTAGAAGAGGACCATTGGCTTTAGACAGGTGCGAGCAGGTGTGTGCATGACTGTATACGAGTGGAAGAGTGTGTAAATGTTTGAGTGTGTGTGTGCGGGTTTCATGCATGACTATGTGCGTAATGGCCCTGTGTATTTTTGGCAAACACTGAAAGTCTTTTTTTTTTTTTTGTTGTAACTGGAAATCTCAGATGAGAATCTGGTTTCATCTGCCAGGAAGTACGACTAAAGAGGCCTTTTAACCTAACGCTGAACCTAGAGGCCAAACACAAACTCAACTCAACTACTGACCTCTGGAACAATTACTAAAACTAACCACTAAAGACAGTCGGTACAATATGATATGTATTAATACTGGGTTTACATTATAATTTCATCAAGACTTTAGAATTCTTATAAAGATACAAGATTGAAGTCAATTAATGAAAAATATAAACATTTAAAAAACATACCCTAATTCAAATAAATACATATACAGTGTGAATCCTTTCAACACCACATGCATGTATTCATTGCCTCTTCAGCTCTTGCACTTGTTTAGGCGAGCCGGGCTTCAAATGTTTCTAGCATGTGTTTTAAATATATTCTGGTGTCCAGAGCCGTGCAGCGCTGTGCCGTTTAACGTTCTGCACCACGTCGGTTGTTCTATTTGTGTCGCGCATCTTGTCCAGTATCTGCTCACCTCACGTCTCCACACTTAAATTGACAACGACGCATTCTCAACCTCAAGATCTTCGCCTGCTTCCACCAAGTCTGCGCGATCTCTCTTCTTCCGCTTCTGGCCACGACCAAGAGACGCCAAAAGCAGACAGCGCCCTGTGCTGTTTTAGAGTTTAGCAATATTCTATTTTTGTCTCATCGATTTGAATTGTTCATATTTGTATTCATTTGTAAATATAGTGTGAGGTATTGTTTCCCTATATGACAGTTACATAATGTTGAGTAAGAAGTTGAACAGGTGGCTAATGGAGCTAGGAATGTAAATAACAAAAGTATCCTCAAATGTAACTTTTCACATCTGGATTCAATATAATTAATGCTAAAATGGCTTAGTAGAGGCGAACATCTGAGCCAAAGCGTATACATTACTGCCCCAAATAAACAGCTTGTATAATTAATAAGAAGTTGTAAAATACTAAATATGTATCTTATTTATCTTCTCAGGATGAGCCACATGTGAACGATGGAGGTAAGTCTGGCGCATCCCGGAGGCAGCTGTGCTTTCACGCTCCTGTCCTGAAGAGTGCAGTAAAGATTGCTTTAACCGCCAACGCACACATACAGCGCGAGAGCACAAAACGGCAACAAGAAGAAACTCTCACACACACTCACAAACAATGTTAATAGTGCCATTAAGGATCTGTGTGCAGTACTGAAACATAAAGTGAATTCTTGTGGGATTAAGTCAGTAATGGTGGCTGTAAAGAAGAGAGCTGCTATTACTGCAGAATTTACTGCACATTACAAAGCGCTCTGCCTTGGGATGGAAAAGGGAGCGGAAACCTTCTACTTTTTTTTTTTATTATTGGAAGAGATTATGGAGCTTGGATGCATATGCTCACTTGTCTGGGCATGTGTGTGCGTGTGTGTGTGTGGGGGGGGGTGTGTGTGTGTGTGTGTGTGTGTGTGTGTGTGTGTGTGTGTGTGTGTGTGTGTGTGTGTGGTCTTACCTCAGCGTCTTGAGTCTGTAGTTTGTATGTTTTCTGCAGAGTGCGCACTGTCGCCGCGCTCAGCTTCTCTTCCTCGAGCAGAAGCTCCAAAAGCATTACAAGCTGCTCCGACGTCACCTGAGGAGACGAAACAATACACGGGATTAATAGTGCTGACTGACACGAGCTCCAGCACGGAATATATTAAAGACACTTTATTGGATATTATGAGCAGCAAAGTCCCATCCTCCTTACACCAGCAGCTTTAAACTACTGAACTAGCACAATGATGAACATATTGCGTACTGCGAGACCAATCTCAAATCTATTATGATCAGAATTCTTTCATTCTCGTTCCAGTGGCGGTGGATTGCTTGATGAAAAATATTTAAAAAAAAACTAAAAAAAACGTCAATATAAGTGAAGCAATTAATGTGGCCTTTCAAATGGAGGAAACGGTAGCACAATAAAGCGGAGCTGAAATGGAGATTAAATAAATATGGTAAACCAAATGGAAGTTGCACACGAGGGAAACATTAGGAAATAGGCAAAAGAGGACGGATGAAGGGAAAATATTAAGATTTGCATCAAGGGCTGAGAGAGAAGTGAAACAAAGCAATGAAGTTGTCTCTTTGGATATCGCTTATTGTGGAGAAACATAAGAGAGCAGCAGCGTTCAGACGCAGACCAAGCCAAAGGATGACATCTTTTACAGCAGTCATCCTTTGGAGGCTTTAAGTCTGCAGAGAAATCCCCGACTGTAGCCATTACTGAAGCTGCTGAAGTGTTGAAAGAAAAGATTCACAGAGCACTGTAAACGCCTTACTGTTTCATTTTAATGACACATGTTCTGTGTCGGCGTTATATCAAGGTAAAACAAGCCGTTTTATTCCACTGCAATAATGGAACAATGGAACATCCACAGGGATCTCCAAAACTGAGCGGTGAATTTAGACGACTATTCCGAGGATGGATGTGGGCAGCGATATGAGAGAGCGACTTCCTCCTCAGGAGAGAGAGAGAGAGAGAGAGAGAGAGAGAGAGAGAGAGAGAGAGAGAGAGCTGTGCCCAGCCTTGCCTGCCTCTCTCCGGCTCACACCCAGCACTCCCAGCTCTCTCTCTCTGGTCCCAGTCTGGGACGCAATTAATGGCTGAAGGCCCCGTAGAGACTGATGTGAAAATAGGTATGAAGTGTGTGTGTGTGTGTGTGTGTGTGTGTGTGTGTGTGTGTGACTGAGGGAAGCAGAGCGAGGGAGAGGGAGGGAGAGAGAGAGAGGAAAGGGGGGAAAAAGAAAGTGAAGGAGACTAAACTCTTTTATCCCGGTAAACACATCCAAAGTAAATAGAGGCATTTGAGCGGTATATATTTTCTAAAGCACCTATCCATTTAAAGAAATCTTTGGTAAACAGCCTCCTTAATACTGCTGGGAAATACCTGAGCTAAAAGCAGGAAGTATTTCAGCTGGAGCGGGAGGAAATAACACCCAGACTCAAGCTGACAAATGGTCAAATCAAACACCACTACCACTTCTTCACACACACACACATGATCGTCCAACTCCGTGTAAAATCCGATATCCAGTCCCCCCCCCCCCCACCTTCACCCTCTATCGACTCTCTCCTCCTCCCTCCATTTTGTGAAGGCTGAGTGTCGTCTGAAGTGGTGTCTCCATCGCTAAAGGGTCTCTTTTGGGGCCCACCCATGATCCTCCCAACTCTCCCACCCTTTTTGAAAAGTCCACAGCAATAAAACGCCCTGCTCACACAGACACACAGCAGCACACACACACACACACACACACAGCAGCACACACACATCCCTGAGCGCCGACTGTGAGGTCCTGTTGTGCCTGTATGTACTTATGTTGCCATGGTGGGTAATCAATACGTCTGCACCAGTGTCTCCAACAACGAATTCCTGGTCAATGATGGTACAGTACTAATCAATTTCAATTGTTATTATTATCCTGACGCGCACACATTGTACATATTTCCGAGACAGGGACACGATTGTCTGCTTTCAGCTTGTGTAACATCTCCATGGAGAACAACAGCAACTAACATCTGCTCCCATAATCCGTCCACCTCTCATCTACCAAAACAAAAAAAAAAAAACACAAGCGAGGAACGTTAGCTCCAGTGCTGTGTCCAAGCACCACAAGTCATTTACCAAAGTCTTACTAAAGTTATTTCTGATTCATACTTCTGCTGCAGAACATTTCAGCGCGTTTTACACTTTGCTACATGCTGTAAATGTAAATCTACTCACATGGTTTCTACACATTTGATCCTTGCTTTCAGCTCCATGCACCTGAAAATATGTCACACTTGAGGGGTTGAGTGTTGCATCAATGACTCAATGTGGTGTCTATGATGTGTCAATGTCAAGGACCTCTTTTTTTATGCACTGCAGGCTTTGGATTGAACCTCATTTTATATTCATTCGACAATATGAATATAAAATCTTTGAATACATTTCAAGTAAACGTCTACTGAAAAACCTCTGGACACCAAGAAGATCACAAATGTGATTCGGTATGATTATAAAAAAATATCAAGAATTTAATTTTGACTTTATGTCTGACAAAAGTTGTAAAGTCGTAAAACTTGTTCCATACCAGTCTGCGGTGAGTTCTGCGTCATATTTCTGAAGGGATCAATAAAGGCTTCAGGCCTCAGCTTTTTGGAAAATCTAACTCCACATCGGTGACTGAAAATGTTTTTTTTGGGGTAGCTTGAGCGGCTGAGTGTTTGTGTGTGTGTGTGTGTGTGTGTGTGTGTGTGTGTGTGTGTGTGTGTGTGTGTGTGTGTGTGTGTGGTGAGTGAGATAGAGGGAGAAAGAGAGCAATTATAGGGGAAAAGGTGAACTCCATGGCTGAGTACCCCCTTATTAATGGGTAAAGCCTGAAGAACAGCACACACATACTTTCAAACTTCAAATCAACACAGCCAAACACACAAACACACACACACACACACACACACACACACGCACATACAGAGTCTCATGTCATGACCAGGTCATGGGTAGTTCTAACAATAGCCCTTAATAGTACAGTGCTGAAAGCACTTTACCACTGAAGGGGGAAATGTATCCCTCTCTATCTCAACGATTCATGTGAAAGATCTCCTCTCTTAGACACACACAAAGACAAAAATACACACACACACACACACACACACACACACACACACACACGCGCGCACACGCACCCAGTACAAAATGTGGACACATAAGAGGTATTTCATTCCTGTGCCGTCTTTCAAAGCTGAGGAATGCTAATGGTGCAAAAGACTGATTCTTCTTGCTCTCTCTCTTTCTTATCAACGCACAAACACACCTCTAGTCTCACTCAAATGGACATCATATTTAAAAGTATATAAAAGAATGCACACACTCCACTTTTTGTACAAACCGCTGACATGGGTCGGTTGCACCGGCTCTATATTAAGTCGAGCTCTGCAAGGCCCTCTGGGAAATATGCGACTGAAATATCCCCTTCACACACTGACCTCTGCAGAACAATGGCACTCACACACACACACACACACACACACACACACACACACACGTGAATGTATGAATGCACAAATATAGACTGTTTGCCACGGTGACTGGGAGCTCAATGAGACAAACAGTTATAGTAAACACAGGATATGATGTCCACCGCAAACTATAAATATATTCAAATGTATGGCTGTGTGTGTGTGTGTGTGAGTGAACTGCTGCACATGTGACTGAGAGATCAAAATGAGTGTTTATGAGTCAAAAGAGGAAGCAGTAACAATTTTTCATGGGTGTATGTCAGTGCATGCACGTGGGTGTATGAGACTAAGCAACATTAGTCATGCAACTGATGCTGCATAACATGTTCATGCATACAGAAAAACACAAAACCAAAGCTCTTTAGCCTTTTGTACACACAACTTAAAGCATCAATAGAAACATTTTTGTGTTTTTTTTTAACCCTTAACACTGGTTGGGTCGCGGCAACAGCTTATCAAAGAGTTGCAAATAATGTTTCTGATACATCTGTGCGTCTCCAATTTATTTTTTGGAGATGGATTCAAAGTATGAAAGAAGGTTGTCAAAGAAAAAACTGTAAATCTTAAATCCTTTTCTGTCCCTTTCCAATAATCCATCACTCGTTCAGTATTTCCATGGCAACGGCACAGAGTACCACACTGTGTTCTGTGCAGAACACAGAAGAGTCAGCCTGTGTCCTTATTCAGGAGCCTGAGGATTGATTTCAAATATTTCCATTTCCTCCATCCATTCGTCCACATTCTCCTCCACCTCCGTGCTAATCAGGGTCATGGTCCCCACCTCTGTTAGTCTCCAGCTTCTGTAAGAGGTTACTCAGCAGTAAATATCACATCTCTGCACGAGGAACCTCAGATAACCTCTGCTTACTGAAACACCACTGAAAATATCTGCTGTGATTTTTTTTTTCCTCCTATTTCTGGGTCTTTTTTTTTAAACTCTTTTTTAGCTGTTTTCTCATTGGAACGTGGGCTGGGCATTCCTACTTGGAATGATAATCAGAGAAGTTAAGCTTATTGCAAGGTACAGGAAACAAGAAATACAACTGGGGAATTATAAAAAGCCAACTGTGGTGGATAGACCAGAAGAGAAAAAGCACCTATAAAAAAATAAAAAGGAGGGGATTTTACTAAGTGACCATAAAATCTATATAATGAGTCCAAGGCGCATAAGAGAAGCTGGTTCTATGCCCTTGGCACAGTTGAAAGGAATACAGAGGTGTTTCTAATGCTTTCTTTTCCTCCCTTTACCTTTCTTCTAACTCCCTACCTCCGTACCACCAGGGAGGGTGTGCTGCTTGTTCAGTCACACTGCATTATGGGGGCTGGAGACATTGAATAACTGTGACATTATAAAACCAAACTGTGAGAGGCCATTGAATAGTGTGTGTGCACGCTTGTGTGTGTGTGTGTGTGCGTGTGTGATGCCATTCAGCCGCTCGGTTGCCTTTTATTTCCGTCTGACCGCAGGCTCGTAAAAACACATTCTGGCACCAGCAGCCAAAGGCCTCAGCCCACGCCTCAGGTACTAAGGTTTCACTCATTCTTCCCCTCAAATCCCTCCCTTTCTCTCTCGCTCTGTCTCCGTCTCCACCGCTGTCTGCTCCCTCCCCTG